AACATACTTCAAGTTGAATTTTCATCGATGATTATTTTAACAAAATTATTTTAAAAATAATAATCGTAGCTATTGTATTGTAAAAAAATATTTTAAAATTATTTTATTGCTCACAAAACAAACAACCACTCATAATTAGAAAATTAAATCTCGTTTAAATAAGAGCCTCCCTTTCATGGTCGAGCCAGTGTTGTCAGCTAAAGCACGCAAAAATTTAACAAAAACAATATTAAAGTAGCCAAGACATAGCCAAACATTGTAGTGCCACATCACTAGTGGGCACTTGAAATTTGCTGACTAGAACGGTCAGTTAACCGATGTGACGGTTAATCGCGGGTCGGATGATCGATGCTCTACTGTAATTCGTTCCAACATGAAAAAAACACTCAAATTAAAGCTAAGTAGTACATTGAAAAAAAATAACTTTAGTAAGAAAAACACTGAAAATGCATTTTGTAGTTGTAAATGTATATAGAATAATAACTGATTAAAAAAAATGTAGTTTTATTTGCACTTTACCTTTGAGGGTAGATGTTGGTGGAGGTGTAAACTGGTGGCAGAGGAGAGGGAGAAGGGAAATGATACTAAAACTTAACTTACATAACATAATGTAACAATAACTGAAAAAAAAATTAGTGTTAAATTATTTTTATCTTTTCTGTTTTATATATATATTTTAATTTTTTATTCACTGCTTTTTGCTTTCTTTTCTTCACTTCCACCAGCACTTTCACTGGATAGAGGTCGTTTCGTAAAATATTTATCCAAAGAGGTTTGGCTTTGCCTACTTTTTAAAATGTTTCTAAAATGACTTAGGCAAATGTCATTACTCTGAGCAGCAATATGACCAATGTGAACCTTTTCGGGATGTTTCTTTTCAAGAAAATCAGTCACTTTCTGATAATACATCAAGATTTCCTTTATTGAGCGAGATCCTTCCACAACGAAGCAAACACACGGGTTGAGACCAATGAACAGAAGTGAATAAAAAATGGCGCTGCGAACTAATGTAACGTCGTATGGTGAGTTTTTGTTCGTATCGTGGAGCAAAAATATGTTCAAATTTCATGTCATATCCTGAAAATTTCGTATGCTGGAGTGTTCGTATCCTGAGGTACTATTGTACAATATATATCTGCATTTAAGAATTTCCTAACCATGTGATGTGTTTGTATAGCTGCTTTTTGTAATGTGATGTAGGCCTTCCCTTGTATTTTCTAAAATATAAATACATATTGTGTGATTATTTTCATATTTTAACGTACTTTGAATTACTTAAAATTAATATTTTATTACAACTGCATTATGTATTTTATTACAAATTTCTATACATGTGAAAAACAACGATAAGATTGCTATTGTATATTCTAATATAAATTCATATATGCATATTCCCAATAGAAGCATTGTATTGTCGAATACAGGATAGCTTCCACAGCAAAAATATTTGAATCGTGTAAAGCAACCAGATTACTGGCATTTGCATCTGTGCTTTACAGTGCACCAACCTCTGGCAGTTTAGTTGGTGGAAGCTACACATCAAAATATCATATAATGCTTCCAATGATTCCATCCATTAGCCACTTGTAAGGAGCTATTTGACTAAGTGCATTGTTTTAAGATTTAAAAAGTAAAGAATATTTTATATAAGTTATTTTTATGTACATTTCTTTACAAAGCTATATTAATTATAATTTTCTTTTAATTATAATTATATTAACAAATTTTCAGACATAAAATCTTTAGAATTTTTATCACTTTTAGATGTTAATAATTTTAATTATTATGAAAAACATTTTTCCAAAGAGAGTTTTAATTCTTTAAGTAAATTTAATGGAGAATTTTTTGATTTATCTAAATTACACAGTGAATATTTATATTCGTGTCCAGTCTATATTGGCAAGTCATTCTTAGACATAAAAAATATTATAGTTAATGACAATGTGAACAAAGATGTACTAAAAGAATTATATGATTTAATATCATTAATTTTTATGGTACCAATTGTTGAGTGCAGTTTTTCAACCATGAAGCAAATTCATACATTTACAAGGAACACTCAGTTAGAGGAAAGATTGCTGTCACTAGCATTGTTTTCAATAAAAAAAGAGCTTTTAAATGCTTTGATGGAAATCAATGACAAGCCATTTTTATGATAACGTAATTAATGACTCTGTGGAAAAAAAATTGCCAAACAAAGTTAGTTTATAAAAAATAATAAAAATAAGTTCTTATATCTTCGTTTTGTGCTAATTAACAATTTTAGAATTAAAATAAAGTTTTTATTTTTGTCATTTCCAGTATTTGTTTAAAATTTTTATGGAAACACAGCTTCCCTATTATCAAATGTCACTGCAAGCCACTAATTATTAAATGCAGCCATAATAAAGCCTGACAGAATCCAGCAGATCATTTGATATTAATCAAGAATCAGGTTATTCGATGCTTATATTTGATTAATCTTTTACATAGATCAGTGTTTCTCAACCTCTAACAAATTGTTGCCCCCTTCAATAAAACCGTTACGTAGTATCGCCCCCTTCACTACAAAATTCCAATGCCGAGGGCCAAGGCTAACGCCAAATTCGTACTGCATTGAATAGACTAGTGACTAGTATAATGTTATTTGTTTAATTATTGTACGATATAACGAATAAAATATCTAATTATTCTTAATATAATGTTTTACTATATCACCCAGAAAATTGTTTTTCGCCCCCCAAAATATAAATTGTTGCTAATCGCCCCTGAACATGAAAAAACGCCCACATGGGGGTGATATCGCCCCCGTTGAGAAACACTGACATAGATGTTAATATAATAACTGTAAATAAGATAACATTCTTAAACATATTGTACATTGTTTATAGTGTTTAAACACTATAACACAATGTACAGTATTATAAGAAGTCTAAATTCTTGTAATTTTACACACACAAATTCTTCAAAATATGTTTTTTATTTTATCATATTTTATTCTCTGGAATATTATTATTATTTACAAGTCACACATAAAGAAATTGATGTATGATAGTCAAAAGTCTTAATATGTCAGCTCTGGAGGTCATGAGGGAAAATCTGGATGGGTTGAAAAACCCAAGTCCATCCCAGATATGTTGGGCTCTGTCTCTCACCATCCAGCATGAGAGACTCCATTGTGGGCCTGGTCAAACCCAAGATGAGATTGATTAAAAAATTCCTCTTATTATCCACAGGGCATAAAGAGTAAAAACAAAGTGCTTATGATTAGAACAATTATGATAATTTTTCAATATGAAAAACAAACTGGCTTCAGCATTAAAGATGACTTAAAAGATGCTTTTTTATTTTACCCAAATGTTTATTTTGCAAGCACTTTTGATAATTTACATAAGACTTTGCTGGCAAAGCCATCTTCTGTCTAACTCTCCAATACTGGGATAGAAAGCATACACAACATACTAATCAATACCAGTATACTTGAAATTAAGAAACATTTACTAACATTTTCAACCATTTATAAAAGACATCTTCAGGCATATAATGCAGAACAAAATAGCTACATTAAAATCCTTTTAATGTAGCCATTTTGTAGTCTGTTATAAACAGATGAAAATGTTAGTAAATGTTTCTTAATTTCAAGTGTGCTCATACTGGTATGTTGTGTATGATAATTAACATATCATCATCTTCAGGAAAACAGAACAAAAATGGAATAAGAATTTAAATTTAAACATATGATAAACTTATAGCCTTACTCACTCTTTCCAGCATACAATTTCAATCTTGTACTAACACTTTTGACTTTTTTGAGAAGTTTTCATCAGATCTTTACAGCTGCAAATTCAAATATGTAGTCAGAGGAATTAGTTCTGGAATGCTTCATAAGAATTTTTTTTACATGGAATGTCATTTGAAGAACATGTCCAATAAGTTATCATAATAGAAATATGTTTAAATATGTGCAAATTCAAATACAGTAGACTATTGTGTTTAAATTTTAATTTTTATTCTATTTTCAGATGATGATGATGATCTGTTAATTATCAACAGTGAATGCAAATAAATTCTTGTGTAGTCATAAATTCTTTTAAGTCCGTGGTTCTTAACCTGTGGTCCCTGAAAGCACCCGAAGTGGTCCGCGAAGTTATCGAAAAATTATTAAATAAATGACGTCGAGTTGATGACAATGCGCAGTACGTCAAGGTTAGAGCCGATATCGGACTGGGCTGGGGTATGGTGCGTGGTTAGAAAATATGAAATTGGAAGGCACTAGCAATAAATTTGCATTTGAAGATAAAATCAGTGCATTTATCGCAAAAATCGACCTATGGATCAGCCTCTTGGTTCTGAATAATTTTCTACATGTTTAATTTATAGAACAACCTTATAAGAACCTATATTACTGCCTAACAGCTTGTGGTCCATGGCAACACAAAAATTTTGATAAATGGTCTCTCATCACTAAAAGGTTAAGAACCACTGTTTTAAGTCATCTTTAACACTGAAGACAGTTTATTTTACGTATTGAGTATATCTTAATGTGAGGCTGCCTTATTCTTAATGATGATTTTAGTATGAAATTCATTTTTATCAATGTAATGTATACTTTTATAATGATGATTAGATTTTTAAAAAATGTATCAAATCTAAGACAACGTTGTTTCGTATTCATTTAAGACAGTTTAATTTTACACAATGTAATGAGTTTATTTATTTATTTTTTTCAGGAAGAAATTCATAGATGATACTTTTCAGTAACTATATTTGTAAATAATGGAAGAATAAAAGACAATATGTTGTTTTATTAATTTTTAGGGTGTAAATATTAGAAACAATAGAGTCTATCTACATTACACAAAATGCTAGCTATTTAATTTCATTTGACTATTTTAATTAACCTAAATAAAGAAACAAGGTCAGGATCAATTTTCATGTCCAAATTTAAACTTATGTAATTCTAAGACTCATTATATTGGAATAACTTTTGAATAAGTATGTGAGAAGCTTGTAACACTTACTTGAGGCGATTTCTTTCGTCTCTGCTCATTCCCATAAGCAGATGGGCGAAGAAGACTAGCGAGAGTGTAGTTATCACCACATTCCTGGTGAGCAAAGACATCATTTGCGATGAAAATCAACTAATTAAATGCTTGAAAAATTTGTACTTGACACGTCGACGCCTTAACATCCTGGAAAATCCACTCTTTCCTTCATGTCCGTCTCATAACAAAACAGACATTTCGATACATACACAGGCTCCCTACTAATTGTACAATACACTATTACTAGGTGGCGCTTTTTCGTACAGCTTCTCTTGCTCTTTTAATAATTTTGAAATTACGTATTAAATTTAGTCATTGAAAATATTTAAACATCCTTGAATTTATTTTCTTAAATGCTACGTAATAAAAAATTTGTTTACTTTTTATTAATATATCTCTTGCTTATTCTGTAATATAAATTATTTTATATAGGAACTCAATTAATTCTAATATGTAATACTTCAGTTAATTCTGTATCAGTAATAAATATATTATTTAATTTTTTAATAATGCCAAATAAATTTTATTAATAAAAACTTACGTAAATAATAACCCTTAAAACTATAAGCACCACTCGGGCTCCGTTCCTCACCACTCGGTCGCTCCATGCTGGACCTGGCCGAATCCATAATGGGCTTGCAAAAAAAGGCCCTCTTAGTGCCCACAGGGCGGAAAGAGTTTTAAAAAAAACTCTAATTTTGTGTACAGAACCACAAGCGGCTAACTGTGAAACTGTTATTTTCAGAAAATGGGATTTGAAAATTGAATCTAACAAAAATTTACTGTTTTATGTAACCGTTTGGAATTTGATATATCTGTGTATGATCTCAAATACAATGTGTTGAGTATAATAGGAATATTCTATTAATGAACATTTTAGATTTAGCCGTTTTGGTTCTTTATCTGCATAATATATTTCTGTAAAAAAACCACTCTTTCAAAATTACAACTAAATTCGTCATATCTTTTTACATAAATTAAATTATCGCAAATTAAATGTTTAAATTACTTTATTTATGAGTTTCTGTCATAAGTGGTAGTTAGTCGCGGGTTCGTGCTTGACCAATAGATTGACCTCATGGAGTTTTCCGAGTTTTCTTCCAGTGAGCAACATCAAAGACTGACTGACTCGATGGGTAAGATATGAGGCGACTCTCTCAAGCAGACAAAGATGTTCAAAAAATAAATAAATAAATAAAAGTGATGTAAATCGGAAACTTTTCTATTCTTCATTTGTTGAAAGACTGCACAGCTATTAAAAAATATCGTCAGAAATATCAAATAACAGAAATACTTGGCATGAACCACGACTTATCGAACAAATGAATATGAATGGACCCTAGACCAGTGTTTTTCAACCAGGATGGCGCCGCGGCACCTTAGGATGCCACGGCGCCACGATTGGGGTGTCGCAAAGTTTAGAGCCTTTAGGCATTTTCTTGGAAATTTACTTAAGTGTAGTTCAAGATAACTCATTGTCAGTTCTATTTTGCTACGAGATATCTAGCAAGCAAAGAAACTATGACTAATCGCATGTTAATGTAATGTTCTACGCTNTATAGTTTCAACAAGGTGTTAATTGAAAAATTTATTTATTTTATCAAAATAAAATATTTTTAAGGATCATCAAATCTGGGACAAATTTTCAAAAGAAAATAACTTAGGAGTAAAGATAATCAGGATAAATTTAGGAAATTATTTAACATATCTAGGACAATTACTATTTCATTATTTAAATATATATTATTTTCCTTGTCTTTTCTGTTTTAAGTATTTTTAAACAAGAAAAACAGGAAATTTTGAGAAATGAGATTAAGAAAGAAAATTGTCTAAAATAAAAATATGTTGCTCTATTTAAAGAGAAAATTAAAAAGTTCGACAATATAATGTTGATAAAGTATATTTAACATTTTTTTTTTCAGTTATTTACCTCAAATTCATATTTTAAATAATTTTTGTTGTCCACTAAATAAGCAAATATGATTTGAAATTGAACATCAAATTGCTATGATATATCCTTTATAACAGTATTTAGGACAGTATTATAATATATAATAACCATCTTCATCTTCAACTGTTGAAGATGAAGATGATTATTATATATTATAATACTGTCCTAAATATAATACTGTATGTGAAATATATGTGAATATATATGAAATATGTGAAAATAAAGATATTTTGTTTTACCTTTTAACTAAAACTTCCTCTCTTTGCTAATCAGAAACTACACCAGTATAATGAGTCCTATTTATAAACAAGGTCCAAGTTCCTATTCCTAGACAATATTAAGTGAAAACTCTAAGGAAAGCATCATTAAAAATAAAAAAATGCTTCCAAAACTAAAATATTTTTTAAATTAGCAAGTTTTTAGATATTTTGTGAAATGTAGTGCAATTTTGTCTCATTTATTAGAGAAAGCTGTTAAAACTTGGATACAAGAGCATGCTTGTGTTTAAGTGTGTGCTCTTATATGTACAAAAATACAATGGTACCTCAGGATATGAAATTAATCCATTCCAAAACTGAGATCATATCATGAAAATGTTGTAAGGTGAATCATTTTTCCCCATACAGTTACATGTAAAACCAAATACAGTAAAGCATCGATTATCCGAATCAATTGGGGCCTCAGGTTAGTCAGGATAACTGAAAAAAATCGGATAATTGAAAAGAATGAAAAAATACATTATTAGTATAGTATATTAGCATATTAGTATATCCCATGTAAGTAGTATATTAGTATATCGCTATTAACATACTTCAAGTTGAATTTTCATCGATGATTATTTTAACAAAATTATTTTAAAAATAATAATCGTAGCTATTGTATTGTAAAAAAATATTTTAAAATTATTTTATTGCTCACAAAACAAACAACCACTCATAATTAGAAAATTAAATCTCGTTTAAATAAGAGCCTCCCTTTCATGGTCGAGCCAGTGTTGTCAGCTAAAGCACGCAAAAATTTAACAAAAACAATATTAAAGTAGCCAAGACATAGCCAAACATTGTAGTGCCACATCACTAGTGGGCACTTGAAATTTGCTGACTAGAACGGTCAGTTAACCGATGTGACGGTTAATCGCGGGTCGGATGATCGATGCTCTACTGTAATTCGTTCCAACATGAAAAAAACACTCAAATTAAAGCTAAGTAGTACATTGAAAAAAAATAACTTTAGTAAGAAAAACACTGAAAATGCATTTTGTAGTTGTAAATGTATATAGAATAATAACTGATTAAAAAAAATGTAGTTTTATTTGCACTTTACCTTTGAGGGTAGATGTTGGTGGAGGTGTAAACTGGTGGCAGAGGAGAGGGAGAAGGGAGAAGGGAAATGATACTAAAACTTAACTTACATAACATAATGTAACAATAACTGAAAAAAAAATTAGTGTTAAATTATTTTTATCTTTTCTGTTTTATATATATATTTTAATTTTTTATTCACTGCTTTTTGCTTTCTTTTCTTCACTTCCACCAGCACTTTCACTGGATAGAGGTCGTTTCGTAAAATATTTATCCAAAGAGGTTTGGCTTTGCCTACTTTTTAAAATGTTTCTAAAATGACTTAGGCAAATGTCATTACTCTGAGCAGCAATATGACCAATGTGAACCTTTTCGGGATGTTTCTTTTCAAGAAAATCAGTCACTTTCTGATAATACATCAAGATTTCCTTTATTGAGCGAGATCCTTCCACAACGAAGCAAACACACGGGTTGAGACCAATGAACAGAAGTGAATAAAAAATGGCGCTGCGAACTAATGTAACGTCGTATGGTGAGTTTTTGTTCGTATCGTGGAGCAAAAATATGTTCAAATTTCATGTCATATCCTGAAAATTTCGTATGCTGGAGTGTTCGTATCCTGAGGTACTATTGTACAATATATATCTGCATTTAAGAATTTCCTAACCATGTGATGTGTTTGTATAGCTGCTTTTTGTAATGTGATGTAGGCCTTCCCTTGTATTTTCTAAAATATAAATACATATTGTGTGATTATTTTCATATTTTAACGTACTTTGAATTACTTAAAATTAATATTTTATTACAACTGCATTATGTATTTTATTACAAATTTCTATACATGTGAAAAACAACGATAAGATTGCTATTGTATATTCTAATATAAATTCATATATGCATATTCCCAATAGAAGCATTGTATTGTCGAATACAGGATAGCTTCCACAGCAAAAATATTTGAATCGTGTAAAGCAACCAGATTACTGGCATTTGCATCTGTGCTTTACAGTGCACCAACCTCTGGCAGTTTAGTTGGTGGAAGCTACACATCAAAATATCATATAATGCTTCCAATGATTCCATCCATTAGCCACTTGTAAGGAGCTATTTGACTAAGTGCATTGTTTTAAGATTTAAAAAGTAAAGAATATTTTATATAAGTTATTTTTATGTACATTTCTTTACAAAGCTATATTAATTATAATTTTCTTTTAATTATAATTATATTAACAAATTTTCAGACATAAAATCTTTAGAATTTTTATCACTTTTAGATGTTAATAATTTTAAATATTATAGAAAACAATTTTCCAAAGTGCACATGAATAGCTTC